ACACGCACACGCACACGCACACGCACACGCACACGCACACGCACACACTCACACACATTCACACACACAGGTGAGTGAATAGAAAAATCAACAAAAGGAATTTAAAGGCTATAATATTATGTACAATTGCCAGAAAAGAGCAAACAACTGGAAATAGAGGTATACATTTGCAAGACTGTACTGGAGACTAAGATGAACCTGATTATAAATTTCATTCTATGCAGGTATAGACATTCATACACATCTGAAACATTATACATTTTGAAAAAGAGGCTGCATTGCAAGTAAAAAAGGTGAAAAAGCATTGAAGAAAAACCACATTTACATTTGTAATTGTTATTTGAAATATTCATGTATATCTGATACAATATGCATTGAATATGCTGAGGACAGATGAAGCATTTAGAGGTTTGCAGAAATATTATCTATGTAAGAATTAATTGCTGATGTTTTTGATTTTAGCCATTCTGACACTTAAGAAAGGGTTCAACAACCTTTGCCATCAAATGAAATCAAATGCAAATCAAAACAACCCTGAGATACCATCTTACCCCTGTCAGAATGGCTAAAATAAAAGACACCAATGACAGTTTATGCTGGAGAGGATGTGGAGAAAGGGGAACACTCCTCTACTGCTGGTGGGAGTACAAACTTGTACAGACACTTTGGAAATTAGTATGGTGATTCCTTAAGAAATTGGGCATCCGTCTACCACAAAATCTAGTAATTCCACTCTTAGGCATATACCCAAAAGAAGCACATTCATACAACAAGGACATCTGTTCAACGATATTCAGATCAGCATTATTTGGAATATCCAGAACCTGGAATCAACCTAGATGCTCCTCAACTGAAGAATGGATAAAGAAAATGTGGTACATTTACACAATGGAGTACTTCTCAGCAGCAGGGGTTGGGGGGAGACAACGGAATCTTGAAATTCTCAGGCAAATGGATGGAATTAGAAGAAACCAAACTGAGCAAGGTAACCCAGTCACAAAAAGACAAACATGGTATTCACTCACTCATATATGGATTTTAGACATAGAGCAAAGGATTATCAGCATAAAATACACACCACCACAATAGTTAGAAAACAAGGAGGACTCTAAGAGAGACATACATGGTCCCTGGGAGAAGGGGAAAGGGACATGATGTCCTGAGAAAACTGGGATCATGGGGGAGGGGAGAGGAAGCCAGGAGAATGAGAAGGGGAGAAGAGGAGGGGTGAGGAGGACATGAGGGAGCAGGAAGGTTGAGTCGGGGGAAGAATAGAGAAGAGCAAGTTGAGAGATACCATAATAAAAGGAGCCATTATAAATCTAAAGAGAAATCAGGCACTAAGGAAATGTCTGGAGATTTAGAAAGATGACACCAACTAACAATCTAAGCAACAGAGGAGAGGCTACCTTAAATGCCCTCCCCTGATAATGAGATTGATCACTCTCTATATGCCATCCTATAGTCTTCATCCAGCAGCTGGTAGAAGTAGAAACAGACACCCACAGCTAAAAACTGAACCAAACTGGAATCCAGTTGCAGAGAAGTAGGAGTGATGAGCAAAGGGGTCCAGACCAGGCTGGTGAAACTCACAGACACAGTTGACCTGAACAAGGGGGAACTCTTGGTCCCCAGACTGATAGCTGGGAAACCAGCTTGGGACTCATGCAGACCCCAAGAACATGGATATCAGTGAGGAACCTCAGAAGTCCATGGGGCCTTTTGAAGTAGATCAGTACTTATCCCTAGCATAAGTATGGACTTTGGAAGCCGATCCCACATAGAGGGATACTCCCTGAGCGTAAACCCACATAGGGGTGCCTCTAGGCCCTATCCCAAAGATATGACAGACCCTGAAGACCCCCTGCCAAAGGAATCATCCTCCCTGGAGAGCAGAAAGTGTATGTGATAGGCAAGGTTTTAGTTGGGATTTTGGTAGGGGAGGAGGGGAGGGAGAGGGAACCAGGGTTGACGTGTAAAGCAATCTTGTTTCTAATTCAAATAAAAAAATGTAAAAAAAGAATTGATTGCTGAATGTAGTTCCTGGATTAGACACAGCACTGGGGAAATCAAAGCCTGGTGCCTGAGGAGGGCAATACCTCTTATTCTGGGGCAACTAAGTACAACCATACCTTGAGGAGCATGAGGAGAGCCTGCCTCCAGAGGCCACGCCCTGGTTTCCTGTCCCTCCAGGCAGTTTCTATAACTCTGCTCATAAGAACAGTTGTAGCCTCCAGG